TTAGATAATTTAATATTAAGATAGATTTATATTTCAAAAACTGTTAATATTATTTTTTAATTAGTATAACTTTTTTATTTAATAATAAACTTTTAGAGATAAACTGAACTTTTTTAACTAATAATTTTTTTTATTGAATAAATTCCCATTGTTAATGATAATTTAGAGAAGCTCATATCTAAATCAAAATCCTCAATATATTTTACAAAATTATTTAAAATAGAAATAATTAGCGAAATAATACAACCATTAATTAAAAAATATATTTTCTATTGTTAAAACATTTGAATTATATTCTTAATTTATCAATTGTTATTTTAATTTAATTGATAATAAATTAGAGCCAAATAAAAAATATTTGCATTTTTAATAACTTTATTAAGAATGCAAAATTAATGATAGAAAAATCTAAATTACTTCTTTTTATCAAACCATACAAAAATTATATCAAAACTGATTATTAAAAAAAAATCTTTAAATAATATCTATAAATTAATTAATTAATTTGAATCAAAACTTGTATTTTTTCCATTTCAGTTTACTACAATAAATAATGTAAGCTCTAAAAATATCTTGCTTGAATTTTGAATATTTTGTAGTTTATTATAATCAATTAAATGAAATACTATTTTTTCAATTCAAAAAATCTTAAATAATATAAAATAGTAACCTTAAAATAAAAATACTTGGCTATAAGTTTATAATTAGTTTTAAAAATTAATTAATGTTTATTATTATGTATTTTACTATTCTTTTTTATTAGGTTTTGTTATAATTACTGCAGATTATTTAACAATAGTAAATTCTTTTTTATTAGATATTTTATAAATTATTGTTAATTGTTTTTTGAAATTAAGGAAAGTTTTTTGAATTTTTTAATATTAACTAATAGACAGTAATTGGTATATAAATCTATTTATAAATATAAAGCCAAATACCTTACTGAAAATGTCGAAATAATTTAATTTTATAGCAATTTGATTATTAAATAGTTAATAATAGTTTTGAAAAATAAAATTTCATGTTAACTATTTTGATAATACTTTTTAAACTTATTCTGAATAAAAACAAATGGACTATTTAATTAAATTCCTACAAACTCTTTTATATAATTATCATGTATATCTTACAGATTGTTTATTAACAAGAAACCTCGAATTATTTTTTATTACTAATTAAATAACTAAACAATAAATAAGATTAAATTTAAATCAAAAAACTAAATAAGATTAAATTTAGATCATAAAGCAAAATAAGATTAAGAAAGCTATTTACTAAAATAATGAAATAAAATTTTGTTATTTTAATTTTTATATATTTTTTTTCTTTTTTCAACCATTTTAAATGCCAAAACTGCCCTTAAAGCTTTGAATACAATCGTAATTCTATAATAGTTAATAAAAAATTTATTTTGACACAATTATCTATAGGTTTAAAGTACGAATATGGAATGCTTCCAAGTGATATACTTCTGATACCTCAGACTAACATTTTAATAGTATTATCTAACTCTTAAAACTATTTATAATCAAGTATATTTTACACTATCGATGCTGAAACTAATCAAGTAAGAAATATAGTGGAATGTAAAATATTAAAAATCTATTATAATTTTATTAATACTCTATTTCTTATTCAGTTAAAACTTAGGTATTTTTAATTAAATATGTTCCAAATATGAAGTCTGTTATTGGAATAAATACTTCTACATTTTATGTATTTGACACATACAGCATGAAAATAATTTATGAAGCTAAAGTCATTGATTAAGCAGTTTATTTTGATAATTTTGTAGACAACTCTATCGCTGTTATGTCTTCCAAAAATAATATAGTAATTGCATATGATATTTAAAAGCAATAGATCGTTAATACATACTATTCCAGTAATATTTTTTTTATTATATATTATTAATAAAATAAATCAAAAAATTAGCTAACAGTGTGTACTAGTTGAAGTGCATAACTTTTCCAAACAATGAACATATTGCTATTTTAAATGATAATATTTAGTTAGTTCTTTGGAATGTAGAAACAGGAGTCATAATTAATAGCATAAAAAGTATTTTTTAGATTTAAAAAGATTAATTATTTTATTGAAATATATTTTTAAAATAGCTTAAGCCTTTAGTTTAACAAATATGTTGCTCTTTCCTAATAGCTACATTCTCATTTATAATATTAATTCAACAAAAATATAATTTATTGATTTTAGCGGCTATTAATAGTAATAGTTTAAGTTAATCTTTGAATATGGTAAGTAATTTTTTGCTAAAAAATTAAATTTATAAAATATATTTAATATAGACACTTAGAATGTTTTCAAAAATTATAGCTTGGACTTTGACCCAATCAAAACTTTCATATCTTAAATATCTGTTAGCTAATAAACTATATTACAATATGATTATTTAATTATTGGGCATAGTAATGGATAAGCTATGAACTTTAAACTTCCAAAGAGTTACAATTAAAATTTCTAATTGAATTTGGCATTCGCAACTAAATTTGATTTCATAAGATTTATAATGCCAGATAATATTTTGAGCATTTATATTTGTGGATAGATAGATATAAAAGTTGTAAATTTTTTTAATGAGAACTAGCCTATAATATAACCATTACTAAGTAATTTAATTTAATTAATATAAAGTTTTTCAAAATAAACTTTTGAATGTTTTTAAAAAATGAATGATTTTATTAAAAATTTAAATTAAATAGACCTTGGTTCATCATATTTTTTAGCAAGAGTTCCTGTTTAGTATTAAAATTAGGAGTTGTATGTTTCTGCAAACTAGTTATTTAAGAATTAACTTATTTAAATTTCTGACTAATCTGGGATGTAGTAATTATTTTAGATTTAATATTCATAATTACTAAATATTTATAGCTAAAATGCTTAAATCGTTATGAATACAGATAATACTTAAGTAGCCTATTAAGTTTCAACAGGAGGTATTATGATAGTAGATATAGCAACTTAATAAGTATGAAATTTATTTAAATTAATTACATCTAAATATTTTTAATTTATTTAAAGTACAAAAATTATCACGTTCTCAATAATAATAATTGGTAGATCAGCAACAATGCTTAGTTTAAATACTATGTAATAAAAAATTCTGATCACTACAGCTATGTCTCATTTAACTTTTTCGATGGATTAAAATCTATTATAGTCTTAAACTTGGATACTTAAACTGCTAATTATTACCATTCTCCGAGTCAAATATCATTAATTATTAGCTTTTTATATGATATTATTGAGGAAAAAATTTACTATTTTGACAACTAAAACTATTTCTATATCCAGGATTTCAAAGGAAACTATTTATATCAAAAATAAAGTAATTTAAATTAAATAATTTTTAGACTGTAAACTCTTTCATTTAAATCCTTATTGATATTTAACATTTCCTTTTTGTTTAATACCTTAAGAGCCCCTTTTTTAAATTTAAGTTAATAAATGGAGAATCTTAATTAGAGAGTTTACAGTGCTTATAAATTTAAAAATTGATTCAACTTAAATAAGTGATAAAATTTTATTATTTAAAATATAGTAACATAAAATAATGTGTACTAGATGGTCAGGATAGATTCTTAAAAAATTATTGTTTTTTTAGATAAAACATTGTAATTGAAATAGTTTTCAGAAAGCGATGAATCTGTTAATTTAATTAAAGTATTTTCTTCTGCTATTTAGACACTCAAATATTTAGATTATTTTAATATGATTTTTGCTGGAGATTAGACAAATGGGAGTATATTTGCTTTTAAATATAATGAACAAACAAAAATGTTTGAATTATTTATGCAGTTTAAAGCATTAATAGATTAGATTATATTAGATATATTTGTGACTCCACTATCTAAAATGCTATTTATTTCTGGCATCTACTCAAGCATATTTTTTGATATGTCTCAGTGCTTAACTAATAAATAATCATGCCTATCATGTTCTCTATAATTTTATTTTTCTAACAGCTAGACATTATATAATTAACAAAGCAGCTATGGATAGGGTTAGCTAGACTATCCGTATACAACTTATTAAAGCATGATTTAGTCTTTTTTAATAGTAATATTATTAAATGTAAAAAATGATTCTAAAAATTTTATAATAAAATATTAACTAGACCTAGAGATACAAAAGAACAGTGCTTAATGTTTAATATATTTAAACAATTATTAATGTTAGTAATGAGTACCCAATAGAGCTATAATAATATATATTCTAGTTTACCTTTTCAAATTTAATATAGCTTTAAATATAACCTTACTATACTAAAAGCACTTAACCATCTACTATTTTACTGAAAGGAGATTTCTCTTTTGAAAATTTTTACTCTATCTACCTTACTAATGTTATTCTAATGTACAACGTTACTGATGATGCTAATTGTTCTTTAACATTTTATTCTGTGTATCAATAAGTTGTGTTAAATAATATTAAAATTTAAAACACTAATTAAAATAGCTATACAGATTACTGTAATAAGATAAACTTAGTAAATTCTTATCTTTTGATCGAAAATATAACTTTAGATTCTAAACATTTTAAAAATTAAACTTATATAACATCGTCAGGAGCTTAATAAGTAATTTTATTTTTTTATTTTCAAAAGATTTAAGTTAAATAAAAATTTGAAATAATTTTAAATAATTAACTACCAATTTAAACATCATTTTTAATGTTTTTTTTTTTAAATGATTTATTTTGCAAAATAAAATGCAATCATACTATTTCATTTTATTAAACATTTTTAACATTAAATAAATAATAGTGTTTTTTTATGGAATTAATATATTATTATGATAGGCTTTTTTTGCTAGTACATTTCTTTTTAAATTAAGTTTTATTTTTTGATGAAAATCCATGAATTACCTTAACTTTTTTTCTTTCATACCTAGATTATTGCAATAGAATTTTCTTTTGAGAACTCGAAAATAAAATTAATTTTTATAAAAATGAATGAAATTCATAAAATTAAAATTGTTTATTTAAAAAAATTAATGATTATTTTGTAATATGTGATTGATTTTTTTATAATTTTAATAAAAAGGTGAAGATTTAAAATTTTAATTTGTTAAATTCTAAGCTCGGAGTGTTTAGCATATTTAATTAATTGTCTCATACTTTGATTGAAGTAGAAAATTTAAATATTTAAGGAAATTAATGTGATGAATCTGTAAATTAAAATTATCAAAAAGCTGTTTCTTTGTTTAAAGCAGGCTAAATTTCTATAAGAAATGTAACAATCACTGGAAATAGTTTTTGCAATTTAAATTTTATCTCGATTGTAGCTTAAAATTAACTAACTAATCTTTAATTTAAATTATTAAATATCACAATATCAAATAACTTAATAAAATCTCTCTCCCAGGGAGTATTGTTTACTTCTTTATTTTCTCTTCTTACTCAACCAGATCATATGATTATTGCTTAAGATATAATTAATTTTAATAATAACATAGTCCAAGAATAATAAATTGTTAACAATTAATACTTTTTTACAAGCTTATTCTAAACTAGTAATATATATAATATTACTCTATCAAATATAAATTCAACTGATAATCACTATCTATCTTTTATTAGTAGCTAAAGGACATTAAATTTTTTTACAGATACATTTATTTGCTCTTATTCTGATGATTATTTTAACTTTTATAAAGGAAAGCCATCTAGTGGATGTATTAGTTTGTAAGAAATGAGCTTGATAAAAATGGTAAACTTACATTTTTTCTAAAAGGTAGCATACGATTGCAACTTAATTGATATTTCAAATTCAAAAATAGACAAAACACAAATTTAATTTTATAATAGTACTTTTTCTAAAATTTACTCAATTCAATCTTAGCAGTTTAATGATACAAATCCGATAGCAATTCGATCTTCTTTTATGAATGATTTACTCATTTAAAATTGTACTTTCTCATAAAACGTATTAGCTGGTATTCCAAATTCAATAGCTCTTTCAAGTTCAGGCTTAAGTATTGTGAATATTGTAGGAAATGTTTTGATCAATTAGAGTTCATTTTTATATTTAGGCTCCAACTCTGACATTAATGGTTTATCTATTTTGTCAGAAAATCTATCAATAAGCCGTTCAACATTTGATACTTCTTTAAGTTTGTCTAGCTTAATTTAGACTAAAAATAGCTTTAACTAAAATATTAATATCAAAGGAGGTTTTATGAGAGTCAAGGCTTCTAATTTATAAATTACATAATCGAACTTTCAAACATCGGAATCTCAAATAGGAGGATTTATATATGCCATATCATATTCTAAAATATTTGTAATTAACATTACTGAAAGTAATTTCTCTGATAGCTTAATTTAACTAAGCGGAGGTATTATATTCGTGGACACTTTAGGTTCTATATTGGAGTTTTCAATATCAAATTCTCTTTTTAAAAATATATTCTAAGTGGCTCCAGAATCATCTCTCATTTAGTTAAGGTATTTGACTATATTTTGATTTTTAAAATCTCAAATTTATTTTATTTTTATTAAATATATTTATTTAATAATAATTTCTTTAAAATTTTATAAAAAAGCTAAGATTCTTTTGGGAAAAATGCTCAAATAAATAATTTTTTAAGATTAAATAATGTTAACTTTACTAATATATATGGAGAAGACATATCTTCTATTTTTTCACTAGCTTTTTGTTAACTAAATATATCTTAATCAGTTTATAGTTTTGATTAAAGTATTAACCGTCAATAAATAATATCTCTATAACTAAATTCTATACTGTATCCTTCGACTTACATAACGTCAACCAAAAGCTAAGTTTATTTAGAAGGTGTTAGTATTTAGGAAGTTTAAAGCTTGTACTAAAAATCTAATAATCATTAAGTATTTTTTAGTTCTCAAAACTCTAACTTTGAATTAAAAGACTGCACTGTGAAGAATATAGTAATGAGTATAGGTGGGATAAGTTATTTTGAATAAGGTTCCATAGACATTTCAAATCTATAAGTCAACAATATTTAATTTTAACCAAATATGAAAAGTTTAAGATTTATACAAAATAATAGCATTATTTAAAACTTTGTCACTGTTTTTTACTTTACCAGCTCTATTATAAATATGAGTAAATCTAATGCCACAAACATTTTCTGCCAGAATATATGTGAGGGAGGATTAGGCTTGATAGAAAAATCCGAATTAACTATTTAAAATTCTAACTTTTCAGCTATAAATGTAAATTTTCATTTAAAATTAATTTTAATTTATCTAATTTATTTTATAATAGTCAAATAATGGAGGAGTTTTTTCAATAATTAATCCTTAAATAAAAACGACGTTAAATTAAAATATATTTTAAAATAATACTTGCAATTAAAATGGAGGAGCATTATAAATAACTTCTAATTACTAGTTGGTAACTATCATAAATCATTATTTAATAGTAATTAATTTAATATTTTCTTTTTATGATAATAGGCTTTTAACATTTAGATATTAGGAAATATCTTTTTGAATAACACAGCATAGTAAGGAGAAGGAGGATCAATTTATTTTTATTCATAAAATTCATCTGCAGACGATTCACTAATTATCTAAAATAGTGTAATTTAAAAAAATAAAGCTTACATAGGAGGAGGATTAAAGTATGAAGGAATAATCCCAACTTTAATTAATAATTAAATATCTGATAATACTGCAATTTTCTATGGTTAGAATATTTTTTCTTATCCTAGTAAGCTGTTTCTTGAGAATAGATAAGAAATAACAAGCAATTACTAAGGCATTTAAGTGTAAGATAATAAAATAATTATATCACAATAAAGAACAGGAGGTTCTATTCCTAATATGAATTTTACCTTAAGAAACGATTATGGAGATATAATGTAATTTGGAAATAAAGAAATGTAACAAGTATTTCTAACTATACAAATCGATCCACAAACACCATTTTTTTCTGAGTATTATTTAAGAGGAGAGTCAAAAGCAATCTACAATTTTGAAGGGAATTGCTTTCAATTTAAAAATATAGATTTAATAGGTAAGCCATAGACTACTGTGAAGCTAATTATCAAAAGCGATTTAATTAGAGACTCAAATTCATAACAATTGACTAACAATTATTATTTTGAAATTTAAGCTTATATTTAAGATTGTTAAATTGGATAAATTCCATATAAATATAATGGATTCTAAGAATGTGTTATTTGTGAAAAGGGTACATATTCATTTGATTAGACATAATGCTATAAATGTCCCTCTGGAGCAGAATGTTAAGGAGGAAGCCAGATTACAGTTGATTAAGGTTTTTGGAGAAAAGAGTAATATGATAGCAACATAATATAATGTGAGCATTAGTAATCGAATTGTGTAGGAGGTTCGTATGGAGATTAAATTTGTTATAAAGGACACATTGGGGCTCTATGTGAAGAATGCGATGTATTTTATTTCTTTTAATTAAAGATTAAAATATCTTATTTAATTTTGAAACAGATATTTGGTGAAGTTTGGGGAGAGAGTTATGCAAAATCCAGTAAATATTCATGCACTTTATGTAGCAAAATAGTAGGTAACTTGTATATAATTGCTACGGTTACAATTTGGACTCTTGTTTCTATGATAATTTCTATCAAGGGTTATGAAAATTATTAATATAAGTAATATTAATCACAGTTCTTATAAAAAATTGTCAGAAAGAAAACATACTTAAGAGGAAATAAAAAAAGTAATTTAACTGCAAAAGAAGATTAAACAAGTGTTTATATAAAGATATTTACAAATTACTTTTAAATTATTTCTTCAGTAGCTACATTCAATTTATAAGTGCCTTCTGGTATTTATTTTTTTTTTTTTTCTATCATAAAGATTATCTAAAAAATATTTTTATAGGTATAATAGAGTTTCCTACATCTCTTGGTTAGCCCATCTCTTAAACTATCAATTCTTTAGACTGTGCTCTCAAAAAATTTAACTCTAGCATGCCTATTATTTACTTTAGACTTATTTTCTCAATCTTATTACCTGTTGCTTATTTGGTTATCTTTGTAGTTTTTCTAGCGATTTACTAAAAGATTATAAAAAAAGAAAAGGATTTCCCTTACTATTTAATATATACAGCTTATATTTTTTTACTTATTTATACTTAACCTGATTTGGTAGCTTAGATGATAGCTTCACTTTCATGCAGATAAATAGGAAATGTAAAGTATATTCTTTCAAATGTATCGATGGAATGCTACACATAAGATTTTTATAAATGGGGATTTGGATTTATTTTGCCTTTTTTATTTATCTTTTTATTTTTATTGCCTTACATCCTAATAGTTTAGCTAAAGAAAGCAAAAAATAACTTATAATTGCTGGAAATAAAAAGAAAATATGGCTTCTTGTACAAAGAATACACTTAGAAGTGTTATTACTGGGAATTTGTAAAAATGGCATAAAAATTAGCCATAATATTATAACTAAATTTTTACTCATAAGATATCAAAACAAAGGGTATACTAGTTTTTATTACTGTGACTTTCTATTCTATTTCTCTAATGATATATAAGCCTTACAAAAGCAATCAGATAAACTAACTAGATCATTACTCAACTAATGTTTGTGCAATCTCTGTCTTGTTAGGATTATTTATTTACAGCAACGATTACAATTACTTTGTTATAATGTCTTTAATTTTGATTATACTGATTAATTTTTTATTTATATTAATGATGGTTAGAAACATAATTCTAGGTTATACAAAAAAATTTTAAAACATAATATAAACTTTTTTAGAAAAATTCGGATCAAGAATAAAATTCATTTAAAATTATTTGTTAAAAAAACAGTAAATAAAAGAATAAAAGTTTAAAAGAACCCAATAAATTAAATAAAAGGTGATGAAAATTTTATTAATTTTAAAAGATTTGAGTTATGAGTAAAGAAAAAATCTTGCTCTATAGACTCTTGGTGCTTTAATAGGTAAATAAATACTTATTGATTATTTTGTATTTTAATTATTATTAAAAGATAAAAGGTATTCTAAAAACTATGATAATGAAAAGCAAAAGACACTTAAATCAGAATAAACTCTTACAAATAAAATTACTAATTTAAATCTTAATTTCAATATAGATATCAATATAGAAGAACATGGTATCTTTATTTTTATATTTTAATTTTATGAAATAATTTTATTTTATGTAGAAAAAAAATAGAATGAAATTGAAATCAAAAGCTCTTAGCTTCAAATTTTTGAATAATTTTTAGGTAAAAAAGTATAACAAAGTTAAAGAAGTTTAATTCAAAATGAGATATAAAGTTAAAATGAGGAAGATTATCATATTGAAATTGATGAAAAAAAAAGCATAGAAAAAGAATTAGAATAATATAAGACAATGTAAATAATCAATTGAAGT